TGTTGAAGACAGCGATCCCGCTTGGTCGCGACATCAACTGGGTCTCCTCGACGTTGGCTCAGTTCAGGGATGGCATGTCCCAGCTGATGGCCGAGCGCCCTACCCCGCTGGGTCGCTTCTTGCTGGACCCCGACGACCCCGACGACCCCGACCGCGAGGCGATCTCCATCCTGTTCCAGAGGGTGTTCGGCAAGCGCCGCAAGGACGGCTCGGAGCGCTGGAGGAGGCCCCGCCCGCGCCCCACGAGGACGACGAAGACGAGGACAACGAAGACGACGACGCGAACAACGACGAGCTACGACTACGACGAGGACGACGACGACGACGACGACGACGACGAGTGATGCAGGGGCCGCCCCACCCTCCTCGCCAGGTCGCACGCGCGGGTGTTCGCTGCCGAGGGCGTCTCGGCCGCCCGCACCGACGTGTCAAAGAGCATGATCGACCGCTGGAACATCACCGAGAGGGAGGCCAGCATCATCGACTACTGGCACCACTGGGGCGTGTTTGACAACGACGACGTGACGCTCCAAATGAAACACTCCCTGCCCAGGACAACCCCCCAGCGTGGTCGCGTTTCCTGCATCGTGCCGGGCTCCGTCATTTACCTGCACAAGATCGACATGGGCTCTGGCTCGAGGATCACCCGGATGCTGACTGGAGCAGAGATGTCCCGGGACGCCCAGAATATTAAACCAAGCTTTCCCCCCGTCGCTGTGGGAAGGGGGGAGTTGCTCTAGCGGGCCCGGGGTCTGGAGTCTGGAGTAAAGGCGCCATCGCATTCGGCGCCTGGGGGTCTCAGGTTAATGCTCCAGGGGGTGAACAAGGGCGCGGCTCTCGAGTTGGGCAGCTTGTACACGGACCATTTCCTGAAGGACGTCGCGGGGAACGCGTTCTGCGGGTTCATGCTGGCCTTGGCCTTCCTAGGGGGCGTCGCGGTCACCAGCCTCTAGGGCCGGCGAGGCTTTCGTTGCTAGATCCCGCCCTGAGCACGTCTGGGGCACGCGAGATTGGGCCCGTGGTCTCACTAGGGGGCCCCCGTGCTCGGCGTCGGCAGGATCTAAGCATTAAATTAACGGTGTAATTGCGTGCCGCCGCCAAGGTGGCCGCGTGGCCCCACTTGCCTGGCCTGCCGTGGGTGTGGCTTGTCTTCGCGGTGGACTGGCCCGCATTGGATAAAGCGCGCGCCCTCGGATCTTCTTGTTTTGGGGTGCGTTCTAACAGCGTGCGTCGCCGATCAAGGTCCGGGCCTCGACGCGAACGAGCCTGGGGGGATCCTGCGGGCTTCCTCCTCCTCCTCCTCCTCCTCCTCCTCCTCCCCCGGCCCCTCCCTCCTTCCGCGCCCTTGCAATTGCTGGCCCCGTGGCGTCGATTTCACTGGCGCGTTCCCCGCGCGGCCCCCCTGGGATGTGAGACAAAACCCAAGGGCCCAAAAGTTTCGCAATGCTCCTGGGCCGGGTCCGAGGCGGCGGTGGAGGAGGAGGGGGAGGAGGAGGAGGAGGGGGAGAAGGAGGAGGAGGAGGAGGAGGCCGAGGAGGAGGGCGAGGGTGAGGAGGGGGAGGGGCAGGAGAGGAGGTGGAGGAGTTGGAGGGGGAGGAGGAGGAGGAGAAGGCGGCCGATGAGAGGGCGGCGTCTTCGAGTGGGTCAGAGCCAAGACAGTCTAGGGGAGGACAAGGGGGGGCATCAAGCATCGCATCGAGGTTCGCGGCCTCGTAGTTACAGGAGGGGTCCGGCAGCCCACTCTGAGCGGACTCCGGCGGGCGGATTTCGGCCCCCCCCTCGATCCTCGCTCGCCCCTCCCCCCCCCGCAGCCTCTCAGCCTCAGCTCAACTTACCCGGCCGCCTCTCCCACAGGCCGTTTGGTCGCGATCGAAATTGAACCACTCTGGCGATGGACTGCGCCGCTGGCTTCCCCAGCTCACAGCCCCGCGGCCGCAGCGGCAGCCCAGGTGGGCGCCGCGGCCGCAGCCGCAGTCGCTCGACCCGCCGCGAGCGCTTGCCTCGCAAGGAGAAGAGCTGCCGGATCTGCGGCCGCTCGGCCACCTCGGACGACCCCAACTTTCCGAATGAGTACTTGCTCTGGCCCGCGGCGTACAAGCCGAAGATCGTCGACGGGGTCGAGCACGTCCAAGGCAAGGTGGACTTGTATTGCTCCAAGACCCAGGGCGCTGCGCACAGCAACCTCACCGTGAAACAATGCGCGGAAAAGTACGAGGACCTGGTTGGCCCAAAAGAAAAGGGGTCCAGCTGAAAGGGGGTGGTGCATTCTATATTACATGTGTATTTATATTTAAAGTATAATATATGATATATGTAACATATATATAACATTACATTATCCGTTGCTGGATTTTCGCGCGCAATGTCTTAGCTGTAGCGCAATGCACAACGCATTGCATCACATTGTCGCAACGCCCCTTTTCAGCTGAACCCCCTAACTTCTGGGTCAACCAAAGAGGAGGGTGGTGAGTTCAAGACCCAATGGGAACGTGACCGCACCGCCGTGGTGACGATCGTCGGTGAACAAGACAACAAGAATCCCCGGGTCACTGCGGCAGATTTCACTCGGGTGCGCGAGAAGGTGACGCTCCGCCAGACCACGGAGTCGCGCCGCTTCAAGACCGGCGTCGAGTACAGCAAGAAGAACTTCCTGAAGACGTTCGCGAACCGCCCAGACATCCTCAGCAAGGCGAAGTGCCCGGGCCATTAACGCCGGTGGAGGGAGAGGTGGGATGATGGAGGATGGAGGCGCAGAGGGGATGCGCGGCGGGCCGGGGGCGGTGATGATAATGGCGACGACGAGGAGGAGGAGTCGAGTGGTGGCCAACGGTCGTGGGGGCCTCGACGTGTGATCGACTGTCTGCCAGGTACTACCCCGTGACGGACCAGGCCACTGGCGCCGTCACGATGTGCACCAAGGTCTACGACCAGGAGGAGGGGCAATGTCGCTTCGAGGAGGGCCAGAGGACATCTCTCGAGCACGAGAAGGTGGCCGGCCCCCCCCCCAAAAAAGTAGCCTGCCGCACGTTGGAGGCGACCAGGGGGCGCGGCTGCCAGCTGCCATGGCCGCCTGCCGGCGCTCGGGGGCCCTCCCACTTTTTTTTTGTTTCTCTCCCCCACTCTTTCTTTCTTTCTTTCTTTCTTTCTTTCTATGTTTTTTTTGTTCTCTCTCTCTCTCTCTTTCTCTCTCTCTCTCTCTCTCTCTCTCTCTCTCTCTCTCTCTCTCTCTCTCTCTCTCTCTCTTTCTCTCTCTCTCTCGCTCTCGCTCTCGCTCTCGCTCTCGCTCTCTCTCTCATCTCTTCTCTCTCTCTCTCGCTCTCTCTCTCTCTCTCTCTCTCTCTCTCTCTCTCTCTCTCTGTCCCTCTCTTGCTCCCCCCCACCCTCTCTCTCGCGCTCTCAGAGAGAGGCGAGACAGAAAGAGGGGGGATGAGAGGAGAGAGAGAGAGAGAGAGAGAGAGAGAGAGAGAGAGAGAGAGAGAGAGAGAGAGATAGAGAGAGAGAGAGGATAGAGAGAGAGAGAGAGAGAGAGAGAGAGAGAGAGAGAGAGAGAGAGAGAGAGAACAACAAATGAGAGAGAGAGAGAGAGGGGAGAGAGAGACAGAGAGAGATAGAGCAACGCAGGGCGAGATAGAGAGAGAGAGAGAGACAAAACATGGGGCGAGAAATAGTGATCTATTATATATTTAATACATGTATATATAAGTATAAGTATACATAACTACATACACATGAAGAATCATACTATATATAGTAGGAGATTGAGGAGGAGGAGAGGCCGCCCCTCATTATTAGGTTATGCTATATATGTAATTCTATAAGTACAACTAGTGCCACCGCCGTTTTGCCCGCGGGCGTAAGTTTTCAGGGGGCTTGCCCACTGACCTGATACCCCTACTCGGGAGGCCCCAAGAACTGGCCGCCGGCGTTTTGCCCGCGGGCGTCAGAAAATACCGTACTCAGAGTGCTCCAAGAATTGGCCACCGCCGTTTTGCCCGCGGGTGTCAGAAAATGCGCACCGCCGTTTTGCCCGCGGGCGTATGTTTGTAGGGGGCGTGCCCAGTGGTCTGATAGCTCCACTCAGAAGGCCTCGAGATCTGGCCTCCGCCGTTTTGCCCGCGGGCGTCAAAAACTGGCCACCGCCGTTTTGCCCGCGGGCGTGAGTTTGCAGGGGGCTTGCCCACTGACCTGATACCCCTACCTGGGAGGCCCCAAGAACTGTCCGCCGGCCGCCGGCGTTTTGCCCGCGGGCGTCAGTCCATCCGCCGCCCCCTCCCAGATAGGAGATTGAGGAGGAGGAGAGGCCGCCCCTCATTACTATGTTATGCTGTATATGTAACTCTATACATACAACTACATATTATAATTTATGGTATAGTATTAGTTGCATACATAGATAGAGAGGGAGAGAGAGAGAGAGAGCGAGAGCAAGAGAGAGAGAGAGAAGGAAAGAGCGAGAGAGAGAGAGAGCGATATATATATATATATATATATATGTATCAAAACGCGAGAGGGAACGACGGATAGAGAGAGAGATACATATGGAGAGAGAGAGAGAGAGATAGCGTCAGTGAGAGAGAGGGAGAGAGGGTCTCTCTCCCTCTCTCTCTCTCTCTCTCTCTCTCTCTCTCTCTCTCTCTCTCTCTCTCTCTCTCTCTCTCTCTCCCTGTTTGTTCTCCCTCTCTCTTTCTCTCGCTCTTTTTTTGTGATTGCTCTCTCTCCCCCCCCCCTCTCTCTCGATATAGAGAGAGAGAGAGAGAGAGAAAGAGGGGGGGAGAGCAGGCGAGTTGCCTGGGTCAGGGGCGACGTGGGTGTAGATGCCGCAGAGGGCCCATGGCCCATGAATCCCATGAATGAGTCGTTGGTCATTTGGCCCCAATAGGGCCCCGAGAATGACTCGTGAATGGCCCCATTGGCCGGGGTCTCCGAGAGGCCCGCGATGGCTCCAAGAATAGCTCGCGGCCCCACGGGTGGCAGGCGAACGCATGCCAAGCCCGCCCCAGGTTGTCGACGACGGGAGGGTGGCCCTCTCCACGGACCAGGTGGCGAACCGCTACCAGCAGAGCGCGGGCGACTTGCTCGGCGGGCTCGGGAACCACTCGGACCTCCTGGCGAGCGACTTGGCGGCGCTTCCCCCCCAGGAGGAGGAGGAGCCCGAGGGTCGGGCGCCTCCCGCGGCGCCGCCGAAGGCAGACGACGGCGGGTCGTCCGACGAGGAGGACGTCGCGCCGGCCGCGAAGGCCTTGTGCCTGGCGGGGAGGGCGTCTGCGTCGGCCAACGCCGCGCCGAGCGCAGCGGCGGGCGCGCGCGCCGACGGGTCGCGCCAGGCGCCCGGGCGCCGCGCCGCGGCTGCTGGCGAGGCCCCTGCGCCGCGAGGGCAGAGGGGGCCCAAGGGGAGGGGCAAGAAGAACCCGGCGCCCATGAAGCATTCGACGCCGAAGAGGCAGGCGAGGGACCAGAAGGGCCCCGGTGACGGCGCCCCCGCCGCGACGGCCCAGGAGGGTCGGGCGGCGGGGGCGGTCGGCGACGACAGCGCCTCCGAGGACGCTGCCCCGCTGCCGCAGCGCGCGCCGGCGGCGCAGCCGCGGCCAGCGGAGGAGCAGCCGCGGCCGGCAGCGGCGCGGCCACAGGCGGATTCGGCCAGCGGCGCCCCCGGTGGACCCGCCGCCGACGTCGTCGACGGCAGCACTGCCGGGACCATCGACGAGGGCGAGCGTCTCCTCGCGCGCTTCGCGGCGCCTGAACCCCTGGTGACCCCTGACCCTGGCGACGTCGTCGTCACTCTGACCGATGGCGTGAACTGGTCCAGCCACGCCGCCGAGTACTTGAAGACAGCTCGGAAGGTTCGCGCCGGGAAGGGGTGGGGGAGGGATGGGCTACGCGCCGAGCGTGTTGAACAGCTGTCAGTAGAATGTCAGAATGTAAGGTTTATGCGGGGCCTCACGGGCCCCCCCAATAAACGCCAAGAGGGCCCCGAGAGGGCCCCAGAGGGCCCCGATCGGGCTCCAGGAGGGCCCCCGACAGCTGTTCACAATGCTTGTTGCACCTCTAGACTCTTGGGGCTCTCTTGGGCTCTTGGGGTTATCCAGGTCTTGGGGCCCTGGGAAGCCCGGGGCGACGCGGTTTTCCTTGCAGTTTTTTGTTCCCCCTCCCGAAAGGCCCGGACGGCCTGTCGCACTCGGGTCTGCCGCAAGCGGGACACTGACGGCTCGGCCCAGAAGGACCTGGATACACTTTCCAGCATCATCGACAAGCTTGGCGTGCTTGTCGCCCTGGTCTCCTCGATCGAGGTATTCCACAAGACGCCGACCTTGGCCCTCGCGGGCACCCTGAAGTCGGCGTTCGCGAAGGTTGATGGACATTGGGTAGCAAATCGTGACTTCGAGCAGTGGCGAAGCGTCCTGGCTTGCCAAGGCCTACCGAATGATGTCCCACGAGTCTGCGGGGGTCTTCGCGCCATGTTCTTAGAATCTTTCTGGCTGAGACTGTCGTGTTTGAAAGCATCGTGTTTAGGTTTATGTTGAGAAGCTTGCTTCGTTCTTGGAACGTGTTTGGGTTCTAAGAACATGTCGTGGTAGGCCTGCGGGAATGCTGAGTCGGTCGGTAGATGCGCAATGATTGCGGGCGCACGGCTGGCCCCCCCCGCCTGCCCCCCCCCCCCCCCGCACGAGCGTTTAAGTTGCGCCCAGGAGTCCTGACAGACCCCGCGCTGCCGCTCTTCTGCCTCTACAACGACTTCCGCGTGGAGGCCTTCTGCGCCACAGACAAGCTGGCCTTCTTGACGGAGTTCCCCAGTCGTCTGAGCGAGGTGAGCCTCACCGACGCCCAGCAGAATGGCGTGAAGTTGAACGCCGTTCGCGACGCATTCGTCTCCCATCTGATGCTCGCCGAGAAGAACAAGGCGCGGGCAGCGAAGGGTCGAGGAGGGGGGGGGGGCTCGAGCGAAGCTGAGAGACGGAGGGCATGGTCCATGCCCTCCGCCCTTCAGGGGTGGAGGGGGGGTGGATGGCCCAACCCCCATCCAGGATGGGATAAGGGGGTTGGGCGCGACCAAACGCCGAGGTGGCGCCCAACCTGTACGTCGCGGACGTCACAGCCATGAGGGCCGCTGTCGCTACGTGGGCGCCCCAGGAGGAGATCGGGTACGTCGACATGGGGCTGGCCATCTTCCAGCCGAGCGCGGACCAACTGCCGGACCTCAAGATTGCCTTGGACTTCGTGCAAGGAGCGAGGAAGCACGTGTACTTCAACCACCTGTGGCACTCGTCCTACGCCCGGCCATGGATATCCAAGGCGATCGAACTCGTTGCGCCCCTGTCGCTCAAGGCCAAGGCCCAGCAGCAGCTCTCCGAGCTCAAGGGCGCCATGGATGCCCTGACGTACGATTACTCGATGGGCTCTGTGGCCGGAACGGTGAAGACGCACTTGGACTTCGCCAAGCGGGTCGCGGCGTATCTTCGCACGGCCAAGTTCATCGATGAGGATGCGTCAACGCAGGCGGCCGAGCTGTTCCGGGGGGTCGCCGGCACAGTCGAACGCGGAACCGCTGCCTGCATCGAGTTCTGGACGGCGGCCGAGACTGCGCTGGCGGACCACGCGTTCGACGACCTCCCCGTGACTGGGCCCGCGGCTGCTGCGCTGGCGGAGTACTGCGAGAAGGTCGAGCCAGCGTGCATGGGCATCAAGAACATCATGAGCGCCATCATGGGCCCCGTCGCCGCAGGGGTCGTCACCTACGTGGAGGACCCGACCACACTGCTCGAGGCGGCGGCCGGCGCCGCGGGGGAGAAGGGGGCGACGGCCCGACTCGATGTGACGTTCATGGGGGCCCAGATTGTTTCAAAGTTGCTGGCGCTCCCTGCCGACGCCAGTTCTGACTCGGCAAATGCCCAAGCTGCAAGCGTCGCCCTGCTGGTCAAGGACTTTACTGCGGCTTGCCCCGACTCCAAGATTGCCGCCGCGAAGCAGAAAATTATGCGCGCCCTCCAGAACCACTCGGGTTTCGATGCTCCCGCGGTGCTCCAGCGCTTCGAGGCCAGCACGTTCTCGCACCACCACCTGGCCGAAGCCGATCGCGCCTCGAAGGTCCGGGCAGACACCGTCGATTGGGAGAAAGCCAGGCAGGGCGGTCGGCCGCCTTCCCTCACTTCCCCACGTCGCCCGCCTGTCTCCACCGGCCTCCTCCCTCCAGGCAGCATGTGTCGATGACTTCGACGCTCGTTAGCCAGTTGACGGGCGCGCTGCTCATCTCGGACCCTGGGTCAAACTTCAGGACGGGCCCCCCACCCCGTCCCCGACCCATTTGCGAGCTCCGGTTTGACCTCCCCCCCTCGCAGGACCAGCCCGCCATGGCGAATCGCGTCAGCGTGTGCAGCGCCCTCGACGGGCTCCAGATCGCCGGGGCGAAGTTGGAGTACCGCATCGCGCCAGGCGAGCCTGATGCCCTGACCACGCCCGACCAGGGGCACGGCTGGCTGAGCGCGCTCTACGACATGGGCCGCCACTTTCAGGCGCTCGTCGATGCTGTTGACAAGGCCAACCAGTCCGGCGCAGGCGTAGAGGGCGTGGATGACCCCGTCGCCCTCACCACCAAGGCTTCCGAATGGATCGTGGACCTGCGGGAGAGGACGGAGGCGAAGTGCTGGCACCCCGCCGCCGCCAAGGCGGCCCGTGACCTCGAGACGGACCATAACTAACTTATAATTTATAATAATATGGACGCCGCAGGAGGTCCGACCACGAGGCCGCAAGAGGCTCCAGGAGGCCGAAGGAGAGTAGGTATGGTATGGTATGGGCCATGGGCCACCGTATGGGAGACCGCAAGATGATTCGATATGGGTGATATGTGATATGGTATGAGGCGGTAATAATATATATATACATATATATATATTACCATATATATAATGTGTGGGCCTCATAAAACATATGATATCGCCTAGCCGTCGTCGTCGGCCTCATTCTAATATCTATATATGTATATATATATATGAGGCCGACGACGACGGCGGCGTGGACGGACCTCCTTCCTCCCCCCCAGCCAAGATTCCCCGCTCTCTTCCACTCCCCGCGAGGAGCTCCCCGAGAACTGGAGGGACCACGCGGTGACCAACAGGGACGACGGCTGGGTGAAGCAGCACCTGCTGGACGGCCTGATGGGCCAGATGAAGGCGGCCTTCAGCGCAGCGCAGCTGCTGGACGGGGGGGGGGGCGGGGTCGAACCGCGTGGGCGGAGGGCGAGAAGTGGGGGGGATGAAGCGGGCGATGATGATGATGCCGATGATGATGATGATGTTGATGATGATGATGATGATGATGATGATGATGATGGTGATGGTGATGGTGATGGTGATGGTGGTGAAGATGATTAATGCTGCTGAAGGTGGTGATGATGGGGATGCTGAGGATGATGATGCGGATGATGCTGAATGATGGTATGGTGACGATGATGCTGCTGATGATGATGCGGACGACCTTGATGATGGCGATGATGTTGCTGCTGGTGATGATGAGGGATGATGATGATGGTGATGTTGTTGATGATGATGACGATGCCGACGATAATGGGGAGGATGTAGACGAGGAGGAGCAAGAGGAGGAGCAGGAGGAGGAGGAGGAGGACGAGGAGGTGGAGGAGGAGGAGAGGGAGGCATGGACGAGGGATGAGGGATGAGAAGGATGGCGGCCGGGACGAGCGGGGGGGGGCGGAGGGCGCCCCGTAGGACTCCATCTTCTTCCCCGACGGCAAGGACACGAAGATCGGTCAGGAGGACCCTCGGCCTTTCCTCCTTCTCCTCCCCCTCCTCCCCCTCCTCCTCCTCCTCCCTCCTCGGCGCCCGGACAATGCCCAGTTTGTCTGGAGACGGGCTGGGCCTCGTCCATTTACTTATCCCTCATCTTCGGGCCACTCTCGTCGCGCCTCCTAGATGGGGTCGGAGATGCATCGGCGATGCGGTTCGATGTGGGGGCCGTGTTTCGCCGCGCCGACGTCGCCGCTGCATCGCCGGCGTTGCCGACGCATCGGATCCCATCTAGGAGGCCCCCTCCATCGCCCCCGCCGTCCTCGGGCAGGCGGAGACCACCGAGGGGCTGAAGGCCCTCCTCGAGCAGCTCCAAGGCGAGGAGCCCATGCAGCAGCTGCACGCTCGGGTGACGGAGGCAAAAGAGGTCATGGGCACCATCATGGTCTCCTCTCTTCTCCCATTCTTCCCTCCTCCTCCCCCCCTCTTCCCCTCCTCCTTTCCTCTTCCTGCTCCTGCCTTCCTCCCGTCCTCCTCCTCCTCCTCCTCCTCCGCCTCTTCCTCGTCCTCCTCCTCCTCCGCCTCTTCCTCGTCCTCTTCCTCTTCCTTCCTCCCGTCCTCGTCGCCGATCATCGTCGTCTGTCGTCGTCGATTTCGTCGTCGTCGATCGTAGTAGGCCGTCGTAGTCGTTGTCGCCGTCGTCGTCGTCGTCGTCGATCGTCGTCGTCCATCGGTGTCGATCGTCGTCGCCGCCTTCCGCAATTCCCCTCCAATCCCCTGTCCGGTGTACAACGCCCTGCTCAACAAGATCCCCCAGGCTGGGGGGAGAGCTGAGAAGAAGCAGATCTGCAAGGACTGGCGGGGGGGGCGGGCGCGCGTCGAACGAAGCCGGGAGAGGGGGGGGGGATGCGGGGGGAGTTGGGGGAGCGGCGCGAGGAGGAGGGGGGGGCCCGCCGCGAGAGGACGTCAAGAAGTCCCTGATGGCCCGCGGCTGCGTCGCGCCCGAGAAGGTGATGCAGCTGCTGTCGAATCCAGCGACGGCCGCTTAGGTCAGGGGCGGCCCAACCGACCCCTAGCAACCCATCCCGTCCGCGACGCCCCCC